ACAGATAGTAAACACAAAAATAATGAGATCTATAGTTCAATCAAATGGTGCACAAAAACAGCTTGAAGTGGAAAGTTCTGGTGTAATTAATTCCAGTGGTCAATAGTATGCTCTTTGATGTGCTCAACACGAATCTTGAGTTGTCCACCAAAAATTCCATCGGCAAATATCAGAAAATACCAAAAGAGCACACAAAATTATGTTTTCTAATGGTTTTCAGCTTTCAACTCGCAAAGGAAGCCGTTCACACAAAAAATTAACGAGTAGTAAAATCAAGAGGCAAAAATTATCTACAATTCATGTCTCATGATACTTTTTGGTATGTCATTTGGTTTCCATGCAAAAGAGTGTTGAAGTTTTAGTGGAATCAGTGATTTTTGGAAAAAAATAAAAAATTCAACTAATTCATAGTTTTTATTCCAAATAGATAAACATATCACTGTCAAATGAATTTCTCCTCCTAGACACAGACTCCGTGGCTCCTCCAGGGCAGCTTTCAAGTTCTTCTACGCCTGTTACAAATAATAATTGACTTAATTCAATAATTTCAACAATATATCAATTAGATATAAAAGCAATACCTATTGAGGATTTCTTCGACATTTTTATACGTACTCGACTTATTTATCGTTATTGATTATTGGTCGATAACAAAAATGAATTGTGAGAGGAAAAATGAAGGTGCGGAAGAATTATTCATGTAGTTACCTTCCAGAGGATCAGAAAACTCCGAATCATCCTCTGCTTCTTCTTCAATGGCTGGCCATGTTATTGCAGCTATTTTTACAGTTCTTGGGACCCTCAGTCGGTCTGACAGGTTTTCATGCACTTGTAGGATATTAGATTCAAAACTGCTTCTGGTGCTGGTGATCATAAAATACAAAAAAGCACAAAACACCATGTTTCAAATGGTTTCAGCTTCCAACTCGCGAAGGAACTGGTGCATTCCCAATTGAATTCAAAATAAGTAATGAAACCATTCCGATTAATCTTACGACTATTTTTCAAAGAATCACAATTGCTAAACAATCTGACGAAGAACTCGAAGAAGTTCTCAAAATATGAACTGTGCCCGTATCCATTCCCTCTTTTTGATGACTATGGAATGAGAAAAGGAACCAAGTCTGCCTTGTACAAAGCATTTACACCAACTGAACAGACAAATCTCCAAGGGTGTGTGTGTGTACGTCTTAGATGGAGGATATTTGCTCCACGAGGTGGTGTGGACCAGGGGTCAATGATGTTCATCAATTTGTGGAAGTTATGTTGCATTTGTTGAGTCCAAGTACAAAGACAGTGCTGCAGTCGTATTCGATGGTTACCTTCAAGATGGTACTGAACATGCTGAGTGAACAAGAAGATCACGCAAACAGATATCAGTTGATATCATGTTTGACGAAACAATGATCGCGACAGTGCCACAAGAAAAATTCCTTGGTAATATGAAGAACAAAATCCGTTCCATTTCAATATTAAAGAACAAATTTTCGGCAGCCTGGATTCACACAAATTAGGCACAAGAGGACGCAGATACCCTTATTGTCACCACAGCAATGGATCTCGCACCACAGCATAATTCTGTAGTTATTGTGGGTGAAGATGTAGAATTGTTGGTGATCATGATTGGTCGTTGCCTGGGTGTACATTCGAATGTATACTTTTTAAAGCCAAGTAGAGGAGCAGTTTCGGAACTCATATTTTCAACTGACTGTGCACCAGAGCATGTCTATAAGTGCAAAATACAGTTTTTATATGCCATGGGAAGATGTGACACAACCTCGGTCTCGTTCAAAGTTGAAAAAATCCAATTTCCTCCAACCATCGAGAAATCCTGCTTTAATTGCAATTGTTCAAAGTTTCAAAGATCACCTTTTTTACTGCAGTGTATGGAATTGACGAGAAGGAAGATACGTCCATGAGCAAATTGGGGTATAAATGCTATACCTTAGGTCTGCAAATAGAACAACAGCCCATTTGGCATCCTTACCCCATACCACCGAACATAAACGTCTCTGTTTATGTTCGGTGCCCATATACGGAAGCTGCAGCATAACAGAGTATAATTTCAAGTGCAACAGTGGCTCCGAAACCACAAAAGATCCCGAGCAATGAGGTTGGAAAAAACCAAGCCAGTACCAACGCTACAGTCACCAGCTCCAGAAGCAGTTTTGAATCTAATATCCTACAAGTGCATGAAAACCTGTCAGACCAACTGTAGGTCCAAAAATTGTGAAAATAGCTGCAATAACATGGCCAGCCATTGAAGAAGCAGAGGATGATTCGGAGTTGTCTGATCCTCTGGAAGGTAACTACATGAATAATTCTTTCGCACCTTTATTTTTCCTCTCACAATTCATTTGTTCTCGACCAATAATCAATAACGATAAATAAGTCGGGTACGTATAAAAATGTCGAAGAAATCCTCAATAGGTATTGCTTTTATATCTAATTGATATATTGTTGAAATTATTGAATTAAGTCAATGATTATTTGTAACAGGCGTAAAAGAACTTGAAAGCTGCCCTGGAGAAGCCACGGAGTCTGTGTCTAGGAGGAGAATTCCATTTGACAGTGATATGTTTATCTATTTGGAATAAAAACTATTAAAAACTATGAATTAGTTGAATTTTTTATTTTTTTCCAAAAATCACTGATTCCACTAAAACTTCAACACTCTTTTGCATGGAAACCAGATGACATACCAAAAAGTATTATGAGACATGAATTATAGATAATTTTTTCCTCTTGATTTTACTACTCGTTGATTTTTTTGTGTGAACGGCTTCCTTTGCGAGTTGAAAGCTGAAAACCATTAAAAAACATAATTTTGTGTGCTCTTTTGATATTTTCTGATATTTGCCGATGAAAGTTTTGGTGGACAACTTTAGATTCGTGTTTAGCACACCAAGAAATAGAGAATAAGCCAATGAAAACAATTACACCAGAACTTTCTACCCTGATATACCGTTTGATTAGACTACTAGCCCAATATGCCTGATGAGAATGTTGCTGGTTCAGGAGATACAGGGTGTTCTAGGGGGAGATTTTATTTCAAAATATCACAATAACTTTGTTTGTATCAGAAATATGAACATGAAATCTTGTATTTCTAGGTTTTCTGACATGAGGAATATGAATTTGCAACTAATTTTGTGATTGCTCATAGATGGCGCTAGTGGCACTCTGTTACTTCGATAATTTACATCATATCTTCTATGCCAATTCATTGATGGTCAAAATAAGTGGAAAATCTGAAAGGTCGTTCACTTTCACATGAAAAATGTACTCTTTATAAAATTGTCTAACTTCAACGGTTCTTGTGTTATTCGCTCTTGAAGAGATTCATGTTCCAATTATAAAATTTCAATACTTTTATTTAATTAATTAAGAATGAGAAATCTCTGAACTACAGATAGTAAACACCCAAATATAAAGATTTAACCCAACATGCCTCATGAAAATATTGCTGGTTTAAGAAATACAGGGTGGTTGAGGAGAAAATTTTCTTTCAAAATATCTTCTCCTAAATTAATAAAATGTCAAGTGGACTGAATCTCTTCAAAAGCGAATAACACAAAAACCGTTGAAGCTGGACAGTTTGATAAGGAGTACATTTTCCATGTGAAATGGGGAAGACCACTGAGAGAAGAAATCCGTGCAAACCTCTTTCAATCGACGAATCATGATTTACGTTTGATGTACAATCAATATAATGAGTTAAAGTTGAAGGGAATCGAATCTATATCGTTTTGAAATCAGCATATTTCATTCGATATTTCAAACAGCCAAATATGATAGTGGAGTCGTGACGTATTAGTCCCGAACTGTGGCTATCTCTCTCTGATACCTCGTCATTCTGCAGTGTAGCAGTGTGATTGGTCAGTTCAAGGACAATAGGCGTGTTGGGAATAAGACGTCGCACCAGTCACACCAATGAATTGACAACATTTCAAATGGCGCAGGAATTGTGTGTTTTGAAATGGACATATTCTAATTTATTATTTTCATCGTCTTAGCATGAATGACGAAATTCAAAATTAATTCGCTGGTAGTTTTTCAGTATAGAGTTCACGATAACGTCATTTTAAAAAATCAGTGGTCTCCCCCATTGAAACAGCTTTCAAGTTTTCCACTGATTTTGACCATCAATGAATTGAAATAGAATATATGATGTAAATTATCGAAGTAACTGAGTGCCACTAGTGCCCTCTATGAGCAATCACAAAATAAGTTGCAAATTCATATTCCTCATGTCAGAAAACCTAGAAATACAAGATTTGATGTTCATGCTTTCGAAACTAACGAAGTTATTGTGAAATTTTGAAATTAATTTACCCCCCTAGATCACCCTGTATCTCCTACACCAGCAACATTCTCATCAGGCATATTGGGCTAGATCTCATTATTTTTGTGTTCACTATCTGCAGTTCAGAGATTTCTCATTCCTAATGAATCACCCTGTATATTGAGAATTCGCATTCTCTATGTGATGAAAATATTAATACTTTTTCGGTGAAGAAAAACACAAAAACTCTTTGGAATGCAAAAAAAAACTATCTTTACCAATGTTGCCATACTTTTCCATTTCTCAGTTAGATTTTTCATCTTCTTGATCGAAAAATTAATGACAAAATTCACCTACTCTGATTTTTTTGATTTAGTTATAATGTTTGAACGTTGTTTTCTTGTTAATGCACCGTCAAATTTTCTATCTCAAATTATTGTTCTTTGTAGCACTTAGATCATATATTTCCACATTTTCATGAGATTATCAGCTTTATCTTATCTCATTGATAAATCATTATTTGTGATAATTATGATACTTCTAACATGTAGCTAGAAATCGATTATTGTGAAAACAAACTGACATTTTCTTTGAAAAAATAAACTATTTCAGGACTATTGCTGGATTATTGCCGATCCTGGTGATTTTTTTATAATGTTTAAACTTGTCAAGAGTGTTGTGGGAGACGAATTTCTAGTGTATTTTTTGTCCACAGTTTTTCCAAATGTACCCTCTCAGCCTGGTATGCCATGTCAAGGAGAAGACAGTAAGTATCGTTTTTTTCATTCTTACCTTTGAATTATCTGTGGTAATAAATTTACTTTTCCGTCGACCTCGTATTAACGACTAAGTTCAATGTATATGAAGTCGTTCATTAATGACACCTATTAATGAACGATTTGTCTATTAATGCACGATTGTTTTATAGGCAACCAAACATACACCGCGTGCATTCATTGTTTATGCTATAACTTAATCTGCATTTAAATCAAAAATATGGATTTCATCGAAGATTTTCCGTTAACGGGTTCGCCTTTCCAAGTTTCTGAAACGATTTTAATCCCTGTTTTCTAACACAATGAATTTATTTTCTATGTTGATCATTTCGACAAATGTCAAATGTCACTAATGTCAGTAACAAGGCTACTGGGTGATTCTTAGTAGTTTCCGGATGAATGATGAATTCGCGAACGAAGTTTTCTTCATTGCAGGGGAAATGAGAAATAAAGTCGACGGAAAAATTTTGTAACCAACTCGTATATTAAAAGGCGACTAATGATCTCGAACATTAACGCGCTCGCTTTGCTTGCACGTTAAAATATCTCGATCATTAATCGCCCTCATTAATAGACTAGTTGGTTAAATAACTATTCCTTCCATATTAATGGACACTAGTTATTATTCTGGCTTTCAAATTATTATTAGGATATTGTTACCACCTATTAATTGCTGGTTGTCTATCTTGTTTTACCTATTAATTGTTGGTTATGATGATTATCTTACGAGTTAATTGATATGACGTTTATCTTTGATATTAATCGACTGTAAGTGATTCGTTTGCAACTACTAATTGCTCATCCATTAACTGTCTTCATTGTCTTTCAATCGCTGGTAACGTTTTTTATTCTACCTATCTTAATGACAATATGTCTGTCATATATGTCACTTGTCGATCTTTGACAATCCTTCTTCCTGGCATATGAATCGTTCATTCATTTTCCTCAATCATATATTCTGGTAATTTTAACCTGCTATAACTACAAGAAATATTATTTGTATTACCAATTAATTGTTGCTAATGATTCCTCTCTTACCCGTTAATTAATATTGGTAATATGACTGTCATCTTGTAGGATATTAATTGATTACAAGTGATGATTCATTTCTATACTACTGAATGCTCATCCACCACTTTTCGATCGTTATTACCCATTAATCGCTGCTGATATTTTCCTTCTTACCTAGCAATAGTTGATGAACGTGGTTTTTCCTTTACTTTAACTTTAGTTATTGGTATGGTATTATTTCCTGCTATTTATATTTTCACCTATTGTTTCAATGCATGTAATATTGTAGTTACAGGTAATACTTTTTGTTTTACCCATTAATTCCAGTTATGATTACTCCCTTACCCATTAATTACCTATTGTTGGTAATAACTTTCTGCTCAATTATTATTGTATGATTTCCAAACTTATGCTCGGTTGATTCCAATCCGCTATCACCTTCATTACCTATCAACTTCAAAACCTATCAATACTTTTTCATGAAAATGGATATTGACGAAGAAACAATCTTACAGAAGAACAAAATATCAAGTTTGAAACGTATGATATTAGTTGTTCTTGGACTTACAGAGGGCATTTGAATCAATAAATAGAGATTTACTTTTGAAGAAATTGAGCAAATATGGAATCGGCGGAAATGTTCCCAAATGGTTTCAGAGCTATTTACAAAATAGAGAACAACTTGTTGAATACAATAACACTTACTCAAATAAATGAAAGGTCATGCATGGAGTACCACAAGGATCGGTACTGGGACCAATATTATTTATTTCATTCATAAATGACATTATACACATCACGTCCAAAATTGTAAGCTGAAACTTTTTGCGGATGATAGATTAGATTTAGATTTAGAATGGGGCCTTCGGGCTATTGTGTCTGCCCTCAAAATCGATTAGAGTTCTTCGGCTAGCCCCGTCTTCTCTATGAGACTCCATAGGCTAGCTTTCAGATCCCCTGTGTATCTCTGGGCTTCTGGTTTTTCCTCACCCAGCGTAAGGAACCTTAGTCTTGACAAGCCCTCACAGTGGCAAAGTATGTGTACTGCTGTTTCCTCCTCTTCCTGACAGAACCTGCACAGCAGTTCTTCAGTCAGACCTATCGTACTCATGTGTTTGTTGAGCCTACAATGCCCTGTGAGAAGTCCCACTAGTATTCTAGTTGAACTTCGTTTCTGGCTTAGTAGATATTCTGTGAATGTTGGCGATGGTTTTTTAATAAACTCTTTTGCCTGTCTCATTCCTGGCGATTTGTTCCACCAATTTGCGGATGATACTCTACTTCACTTCTATGGCGAAAAAGAGGATATGGAAACATTCTTGAGTGTAAATCTTGAGAATATATTCGCCTAGATCTGTGACAATGGACTCAAAATTAAAATGATCAAGGAAACTAAAAATGAAATTCAATATTCAAATAAACGGAGAAATCATTGAAGAAGTGAAAATGTTCAAGTATTTGGGAGTGATCATTGATAACGAACTGAATTTTAACAGTCATTGTGAATACATCAAGATGAAAATTGCGCGAAAAATAGGTTTCATGTACAAGCTTGGTGATAAAGTATCTCATTTCACGAAATTAACAATTCACAAGTCAATAATTACACCTCATATTGATTACTGAGGTACTTTACTGAGTTTCTTGAGTAACGAACAGGTTGATACACTGCAAAAAATCTAAAATCGTGCAATGAGAGCGATTTGGAGTTGTGGAAGACATACACCAGGCACAACAATGCTAAACACATTGCAATTAATGAATATTAAACAAAGAATTTCATTTAATACACTTGTTTTTGTTTTTAAATTGAAAAATAACATGTTGCCTTTATATTTATCAAGTGATCTAAATTATGTTCAAGATGTACATTATCACAATACCAGAAGACAAGCAGCAAATGATTTCTATACAAATTCTGGAAATATTGTCTGTGATACTTTATATACAAAAGGTCTGGTATTGTTCAATAATTTGCCCTGTGAAATGAAAAGATGTGTGTTACTAGATAGTTTTAAAGAATCGTGTGTGTTATTTGTGAAAGAAAATTATTGATTGATCAATTGAGAAAGGAGAAATCTGTAAATTACCCTTATCCTGAAATAAGTGACGTAATTCATGTGTCTGTGTTCTATATTTTTATGTCTTTATTTATCGACTTGTTGTATTTTATTGTAGATTCAACTGTAATGAAGAGCACTGTGCTTATGAAGTTTGATATATCAGTCACAAAACAAAAATTAGATGAATAAAACTTGATTTGTATTGTCGACTGCTGTTGAGAATGTTGCATAAATTTTCCAAAGCCTTCTTTATATGCAGAAGGATTAGTTGATAAAATGTAATTATAGTAGTAATTGAACGTTGATGTGCAAACATAAATTAACCAAGAATGTCTCAGTTTATCCAAATGCGATAAGAATATTCATTTATTTATCATGAAAAAATAATGTTTCCATGAGAAGTTTGGAGAAAATATCCCTCGAGCGACAGTGTCTAGATTATGGCCATTTATCTAAGTTTGAAATACGAATTTGATAGTCCAAAGTTGTCAGAAGCTGATAAACTACTATCTATTATCCTCATTGGAGTGTATGTCGCTCAATATCCATTTTCCGAAATAATTTTATAGAGTAACTTTATTTTTGGCAAAGACAATTTTTGATCACCGTGTATTTTGGTTGGGCCACCCTGTTTGGCGAATTCGTCATTTCTTCTTCAACAGCAGCTGTAGTCAAATACAGCTTTTTTGCTGCTCTGTTTTTTTGTTTTCATGTCGACCGAAGATTGCCAGTTCATTTACTTTCGGTTTCGCCGCGTATATTTGTGTTTGTGCTGATTAATAATATACTACCTATAGTTACTGCTATGAACTATGCTGAAAAATGGATTATATCACCCATGTGGCACCTAAAATGACTGTCAAAAATGTGATAAAATGTTTGATGTTTTGTACACGGAACCACACGGAAAAATTTGGTTCGTTATTTTGATTTTTTTTTTGGTGTGGAACTTTGTTGAACCGAACACGTGAAGATAATTCCAAATTGTTGTTTTGTTGACAATGCAGAAATTATAAGTTATTACTGGAAATTTATGAATGAAAAGTTCAGCGTCTTTCAAATTAACAGTCATGTTTTTATTTTATATCGTATTTGGCTCAATTAAACTATTCAGGTAATAGTGACAATAACAAAACTTTTTTAGGGTAAACCTCGGGGTAAAGATGTGATGAAACTAATAGAAAATTTATTTAAAACATGAGGTCAACCAGTGATAAATTCTGAAGTTTTACAGTCGCAAATACCTTTAGCAGTATTGACTAATATCTAAATAAACTGCTCAACACATGAAACGTAAAATCGCATAACTTTCGATTTCCTCGACCGATTTTCAATTATTTCTCAGTTTCTGAAAGCTCGTTTCATTGACTATCGAACCTATGGATATGACAATTTCATCTTTTCCGGATGAGATTCTACAGGATGATAATCAAAGCTGTGCATTTTTCCAAAAATTTCAAACACTTCCCGTTTGAAAGAAAAATTTTTAAATTTTTTTTCTGGAGTCAAAAACATATTGCTTCATATGTTTTCTCGATACTGTAAAAAAGTTTTTGGAATTGTCACACGCGTTACTGAAATATGAATGTTTTACTAAGATAATGCATAATTTGATGCTCTAATTTTTATTGGTTTTGCGTTCCTGTCAATCTGGTTCGAACGGTGGTCAAAATTCTTGAAATGATGCATGAACAACCTATTTCTATATACAAGGTGGTCCTCAAACAACAATTATGACATCAAGTGATAAAAAAAATCTTGTTTTGACGAGCAAGGAAATTTCGAAGCAGGAAACCGATTGAGATGTTGTCATCACCATGTCAAGTTGCTACAGAATCTATTGCTGATCCGTAATCACGTGAATTTTCATACTTTTCATGTTCACTTCAATGTTAAATTCAATTAAAGGTGAGAGCGATGTGATTTGAACTGGTGTTATTGATGAAAAGTCATGGACTTGGAACATTGTGACTGTGATGGAATTCAATATGAAATATTTATGTTTTTTCTGAGTCAGGACAATATATATCCATGTGACTCACGTCTGCCATTCCTTTGAATTTCGACAAATATTCAATATAAGTCCTTTGTGAAGACGTTCACCGCAAATGAAATCACATCCTGTTACTCGTTAATCTACTGCAATTGTGATGAATTATGTCAGTTGCATGGTATGTCTCGGCAGCAACTTTTTTTATTCAGACGACATCCTGTATATTTCTTCAGTCTATATCATTTGCCTTGAAATTATCTTCTAAAAATCTATCACAAAGTGAGAACGGCGCTCTGAAAATCCGTTTTTTCTAACAATTCCAGTGGTTTGATCTTGCAATAGATTCTGTAGCAACATGACATGGTGATGACAAACTCTCCTACACGCTTTGATCGCTAGAAAATTTTCTTGCCCGTCAAAATAAGTTTTTTTTATTACTTGATGTCATAATTGTTGTTTGAGGACCACCCTGTAAATAAGAATTGGTTGGTCATGCATCATTTCAAGATTTTTGACCTCCCTGCGAACCAGATTTACAGAAACACAAAGCCAATAGAAATTAGAGCTTCAAATTATGCATTATCACAATAAAACATCCATATTTCAGTAACGCGTTTGACAATTCCAAAAATTTGTTTACAGTATCGAGGAAACATCTGATGCAATATGTTTTTGACCCCAAAAAAAAAATAGAAAAATTTAAAACGGGAGGCGTTTGAAAGTTTTGGAAAAATGCACAGCTTTGATTATCCATCCTGTAGAATCTCATCCGGAAAAGATGAAGTAGTCATATACATAGGTTCGATAGTCAATGAAACGAGCTTTCAGAAACTGAAAAATAATTGAAAATCGGTTGAGGAAATCGAAAGTTATGATAATTCAAATTTGATCAAGAAAATGCGATTTTACGTTTCATGTGTTGAGCAGTTTAGTATATTCAACAAGTATTGAAATGATTCATTTCAAACCTGTTGTAAACTATAATTTCTCCAGCGAGATTTCATAAATACAAGAAAATACGATCAGAAAAACTTTCAAAGATTTAAAAAAAATCAAGATGTTCGAATTTCTAAACATCATGAATTTAAACGCATGTTGGCCATAACCATAGCAACATGCGGACAAGCAGACTTTATATTATTTATTCTTATAGTCCAAGAGTCGGCTGCAAATTTCAACCTTCATCTGATAACGAAATGCATTGCACTTTCCTGTGCGGAAATTTGCTCTCGATTCCGCGATAAAAATAATAGCTATATTGTAAGAAATAATATGACAGTTCAAATTGATGATTCACCAGGATTCACCATTACTAGTATGTGATTCAGCCAGTAACCTTGGATTAGTGTTCGATGTGGATATTCGTTTTTCTCTTCATATCAAGAGTAATATAAGCAAAGCTTTCGCATCTTTGAAACTCATATAGAGTGCCCGCCATGTTCTGAGTGTTAAGATGAAGCGAACTTTATGTGAGTCAACTATTATGATTTTATCTATGGTCCATGCTTAACTAGGGTAGACAAGGAAAATATTCAGAAAGTGCAAAACAGCTGCTTTAGACTAATTTATGGAATCAGAAAATATGACCATATTTCTCATAAATTTCAAGAATGTAACTGGCTCAACATGGAAAACAGAAGACAGCTCCATTTAGGTACATTGACATATAAACTCTTCAATGATCCTAACTCACCGGCCCTGGTGCGAAATTTCATTCCTAGATCCAGGAAACATTCAAAAAATGTCAGGAATGCGTCCACTCTGACCATGCCTCAACACAGAACTGCAATGTTCCAAAAGTCGTTCGTATTTAATGCTATTCAAATTTACAATCAATTGCCGGATGAATTCAAAAAATACAATATGAATAAATTCAAATATAAATCGAAAATTCATTTACTTGAAACACAGCGAAATCATTCTTAACCGCCTCTGTATACTACAGCGAGATTGTTCTACCTAGCATCTAGCATTCATTGTACTCTCATCCCCGTTTAGTAATATTAATTATATAAATGTGCACTCTTTAATTCGTTCATACTTCCTTCATGTAACGAGTTGAAACAAGAAGTAAATAAAAGGGGGAGATGTCGCCTTTGCGAATATACAAACGTGCCGCGATTCAAATTGATCTAAGTTAGTGGCAGAGCGTCAGTACTTCCGAGAATATTTCGCCCCCCCCTCTAAAGATAATATCCGATGGACCAGTGTAAAACTCAACAGGTGGATTAGAATACTCGTAGTGTGAGCACCACATGACGTTCACACTAGTCCATCGGATATTATCTTTGGACGAGGGCGATCAAATTCACGTTTGTTTCGAAACAATTTCACTCTAATCACGTGACATATCTAGTTTAATCATTTTTCCACAGGGAGTATTTATAGAAGAGGTGCTAGACGTTGGAGGAAGCTTTACAGGGTCAATGGACACATATTCCAAGCTAAGAGATTCAATAGGGTGAGTTTTAATGATTTTATACTCTTAACTAGTTGAACATCGAAGTATGTTCTGTGTTTGCTATTGGCTCTTGGGAATTTTGAAAAAAATTTCAGTCAATCTAGATACTATGAGAAGCCTTTGCATGGTTGAATCATTTCTGTGAATTGAATATTGAAATTCTAGCAGCTGTTTAAAAACGACAATTTCATGAATGTAGTCGATTCATTTTGATATGCTTTATTTCTTGATCTATTAATCGTAAATCAGTGAATGTTGATTCATCTCTTAAAAAAGTCTAGTCTGTACAGGGTGATTCACCATAAATGTCCCCCCCTCTAGCTCAGTTATTTTTGAACCGATTTCAAAATTTGAAATATCATCTCAAATGATTTTCGATAAAGTTTGTTTTCGCTACATTAGAAAATACAGGGTGCTCGGAACAAACGATCTACAGGGTACTATTTGAGTTTTTTATATGGAACACCCTGTTTTTCATTGTATTCTTAGATTCTCCCTGAAGAGCTGATTCGATCAATGTATCACACTTGGGGTCTAGCGGGAATGATTACAGAGATATAGGGTGTTCGAAATCGAGATTTTTCAACTTTAGGATTTTTTTGAGACGAAACTATTCATTATCGGTCAAAACGGCTTTCATGTCCGTATCTTAACTTTTGATTTACTATCTACTGACATTCAATAATTGGAACAGATACAGGGTGATCAGAATTCTGAATCTTGAACCACCCTGTAATAGTTCGAATTAAATGTCAGTAGACAGTAAATCAAAAGTTGAGATGGGGACATAGAAGCCGTTTCGACCAATAATGAATAGTTTCGACACAAAAAAATCCTAAAGTTGAAGAATCTCGATTTTGAACACCCTATATCTCTGTAATCCTTCCCGCTAGACCCCAAGTGTGATATATTGATGGAATCAGCTCTTCAGGAAGAATATAAAAATACAATGAAATACAGGGTGTTCCATTTGAAAAAATCAAGTAGTACTCTGTAGATCGTTTGTTCCGAGCACCCTGTATTTTCTGATGCAACGGAAAAAAAATTCTGAAAAATCATTTTAGATAATTTTTCGAATTTTTGAATCGGTTCAAAAATGAGTGAGCTGGAGGGGGGGGGACATTAATGGTGAATCACCCTGTACATATTTGATCTCTTGACATTTTTTGATAACTGTTTTCCCGTGGTACATCCATGAATTGGGAAACGCAATTTCCAGCGCCTCGATTATGTCCCTACTAGTGTGACGTCACGAAAGCGATGCTCCGGCTTGGAGAGATAGAGTAGGCCCTGAGTAGGCCCTTGATACAGCCACAGTCTCCGAACATACCCGAAGGAGACACTGTTGCCAAATACTATCCTATACAGGGTGATTCACGGTGGATGGCCTATTAGAAATATTTGGAGAAATAAAAGACAGAACATTCTGAAAATTGGGATGCTTTGATAATTGAACATTCTCTATCCGTCTAAAATATTTTCATTGAGACAGTGTTGCCACTTCTATCAGAAACAGTTAGCAACTTTGTTATTTCAAATGAAACACCCTGTATTTTATTACATTGTCAGATTCTTCCCGAAGAGCTGATTTCATCAATGTATCACACTTGGGTTCTTGCAGGAATGATTACAGAGATATAGCAGGGTGTTCAAAATTAGGATTTTTCAATGTTAAGATTTTTTGTGTCGAAACTATTCATTATCGATCAAAACGGTTTACATGTCCCTATCTCAACTTTCGATTCACTGTCTACTGACATTTAATTGGAACAGATACAGGGTGATCAGAATTCTGAATCTTGAAGCACCCTGTATTTTTTCGAATTAGATTCCAGTGGATAGTGAATCAAAAGTTAAGATAGGGACATGTGAGCCGTTTTGATCGATAATGAATAGTTTCGACACAAAAAAATATTAAAATTGAAAAATCTCGATTTTGAACACCCTATATCTCTGTAATCATATTTGCTAGACCCCAAGTGTGACACATCGATGAAATCAGCTCTCCAGGGAGAATCTAAAAATGCAATAAAATACAGGGTGTTCCATTGGAAATAACAAAGTTGCTGATTGTTTCTAATAGAAGTGGCAACACTGTATCGATGAAAATATTTTAAACGGATAGAAAATGTTCAATTATCGAGGGATCCAAATTTTCAGAATGTTCTATCTTTCCGTTCTCCAGATACTTCTAATAGGCCATCCACCGTGGATCACCCTGTATACCAGAATTCAATGAAACTGCCATTGTGGGCCTAACGACACATTGCGTTACACCTACATTTCGATCGGCCCACATTTCGTTAGAATCGTTAGTCCCACATAGTCAGTGAAACGAAAATTCAGCAACTGAAAAGATATCAAAAATTGGTTGAGGCAGTTGAGAGTTATAATGAATCAAAATTGACCATACAAAATGTCCTACAGAGGGCCTTCTGCGCCTTTTGCAACGACAGAATCTGGGGCTTGGGCAGGCAAGGCTTCAAGTGCATACAATGCAAGCTGCTGGTGCACAAGAAGTGCCACAAGGCAGTCAACAAGCCGTGCACCAGCGAGCACCAGGAACCCATAGTTAGAGGGGAGGAACACAACGGGGGGGATTCCCAGCACCACCAAACTGCCCTCAACGAGATAGCTGCGGAGTTGAGAGAGCGGGAGTTCTCCGAACCGCCGCCAGATGTCACAGGTCAGTGGACACGTCGAGGTTTCTTTCGGCCATGTTGATATTTCGTCACTCGGAAGTACAGGGTATCCCAATTTGGGCACTTTTGCGGGGTATCTCCTTTATCAGTAAAGATAGAGCATTGCGGTTTTCGCGACAGTGTGCTACTTTTTTATGAAATTAATAATGGCGCGAGCAGAATTGTGATAGCTCTTCCGGTTGTCGAGATACAGGGTGGAATTGAAAAATATCACTTTTCAGGCACCCTCCGTGTCTCAGTTATCTTTGAACTTATCGAAGAAGTTAAAACTTGTTTTTATAGAGTTTTTCTCGTAGAATCCAGTGGCGTAGTTATTTTTTTGCTAGCACCTTTTGTTTTTTAGTTATGGAGCAAACATATGTTTTTTTTAAATGGAAAATAATTGTATACAATTATATATTTTTGGAAAGCCCACTTCATGCTCAATGTATATATGAAATAATATACAGGGTGTTCCATTTAAAAAAGCATATGTTTGCTCCATAACTAAAAAACAAAAGGTGCTAGCAAAAAAATAACTACGCCACTGGATTGTACGAGAAAAACTCTATAAAAACAAGTTTTAACTTCTTCGATAAGTTCAAAGATAACTGAGACACGAAGGGTGCCTGAAAAGTGATATTTTTCAATTCCACCCTGTATCTCGACAACCGGAAGAGCTATCACAATTCTGCTTGCGCCATTATTAATTTCATAAAAAAGTAGCACACTGTCGCGAAAACCGCAATGCTCTATCTTTACTGATAAGGGAGATACCCCGCAAAAGTGCCCAAATTGGGATACCCTGTACAGTGTGTCCAGTTTTCGATGCTTTTGCATGATATCTCAGTTATCTTTGGAGATAGAACCTTGCGGTTTTCGCGGTCCTGTGCCACTTTTTTGTGAAACTCAAGATGGCCTAATCAGATTTTGCAAGACTGTTTCCGTTTATGAGATACAGGGCGATTTTGAAAATTTATACTTTTTGGACCCCCTCTATATCTACGAAGTTTATCAGCGAAAATGTCAAATCAAAATCTTAACCCATAGAGAATTTTATGCAGAATCCAGTGGCGCACAAAATTTTTTTTTCGGGGTGTGGTTTTGAAGATACGACTCAAACTTATGATTTTTTAAATTGAACACCCTGTATTTTATGAGCTCATTGAATTCCTTATTTTTTCCCTTCGAAATGATATATGATGTATGAATATAACATTTTCAAAAATGTTCAAAAATCACTAAAACATTGAATTTCAATAGTGGGCTATAGGTTTTTCGAGGGATTTTCATATAAAGAAATTTACAATTGAAGGAATATTTCCTTTGATTGTTCCATGAAGGGGGAAATAACAATTTCAACACTAATTAACTTGCAATACACAAGACTTAGATACCTGATATCCACAAATATATAGTAATAACAAGTTTATAATGTAGAATAAGCACCTGATTGAATATTTACTAAAACAATTGAATTTCGAAATTATTCAGTGATTTATTCATTGAATTGTTCAAATTGATGTCCATTTTCCATCACAAACTTTCTCAATACATATTAATCATTGAAAGATGTCTTTGTAATTCCTGGAAAACTGCCTCTGTTGTTGCACAAAGTTCTTCAACAATTTGAACATGTCAATGAATAAGTTACTGAATAATTCCGGAATTCAATTATTTTAGTAAATATTTAATCAGGTGCTTATTCTACATTATGAACTTTTTATTACTATTTATTTGTTGCTATCAGGTACCCAAGTTTAGTGTTTTGTTAATTAATAAGTGTTGATATTGGTTTTGACCTCTCCAAGGAAAAATTTTAAGAAATATTTCTTCAATTGGAACGTTTTTTATAAGAAAAATCGATAACCAACGATCAGAATTCAATATTTTAGTGATTTTGAGCAATTTTGAAAATTTTATATTCAGTCTTTATATATCATTTTGAAGACAAAAAAATAAGGAATTTAATGAGCTTATGAAATACAGGGTGTTCCATTTAAAAAATCATAAGTTTGAGTCGTATCTCCAAAACCATACCCCGAAAAAAAATTTAGTGCGCCACTGGATTATGCGTGAAATTCTCTATGCGATAAGATTTTGATTTGACTTTTTTTTTTGAGAAACTTCGTGGATATAGAGGGGGTCCAAAAAGTATAAATTTTCAAAATCGCCCTGTATCTCATAAACGGAAACAGTCTTGCAAAATCTGATTAGGCCATCTTGAGTTTCACAAAAAAAGTGGCACAGGACCGCGAAAACCGCAAGGTTCTATCTCCAAAGATAACTGAGATATCAGGCAAAAGCATCGAAAACTGGACAAACTGTACAGTCGTATTCAATAAAAAAGCGTACAAGTGTAAAATTGGCTCAGCCAATGCTTTGTGTTTTTAAGAACCTATGATTACTCTACTGTCAACATTTGGTAAACATTCATTCTTGATAGCCTGTTTTAGGCAAATAGGATGACGTTAATTTCTCCCTCCAATATACTTGTAGGTTTTTTTTGAATACGACTGTACTATCCAAATATCCAATGACATAAACTACTTTTTTCACCACTAGGTATAGAACCTACCATTATTTACTCCTCTTCAAGGCGTAAAGTATGTTTTTAATTCAAAAAGCGTCAAGTTAATTTCAAAAAGTATGGAAGGTATTTCAAAATTAACATTTCAATTTCGAAATGCGTCATTCGTATTTCAAATTAGTCATTTTGATTTCAAAAAGTATGAAATGTATTTCAAAATTATCAATTCGATTTCAAAATGCGTCAATTTGATTTCGAATTAGTCATTTTGATTTAGCGACGGGCCATAGCACCACTATAAATATAAATAATATTTCCGCGGCGCCTAGATCAAACACTTTTGTGTGAAGTGATTCTGTCCTTAAACATTCTGCAAGTTTGACCAACGTATACTAGATCACAAACATTGTGAAAGAAATTTAAAATCATGTAGCCTGGCTGAACACCTTATAAATGGAGATCATAGAATGAATTATGATAATTGCTAAATTTAATAATACAGGGTGGCCCACGGTCGATGGTACCTTAGACGTATACGGAAAACGGTACATTGGATTATCCTGAAAATTTGGTTACTCTAATAAGCGTTTGTGATCTAACGATTCAAAATATTTTCAGCGAAGTAGCGTTGCCACTTTTACCAAAAAGTAGTATCATCTTTGTTATTTCAAATGGAACACTATTGCGTTTTTAGATTCTTCTCGAAGAGCTGATTTCATCAATGTATCACACTTGGGGTCTAGCAGGAATTATTACAGAGATATAGTGTTCAAAATCGAGATTTTTCTCAACTTCAGGATTTTTTTGTGTCGAAACTATTCATCATTGGTCAAAACGGCTTACATGTCCCTATATTAACTTTTGATCAACTATCTACCGACATTTAATTGGAAAAAATACAGGATGGTCCAAGATTCAGAATTTTGATCACCCTGTATCTGTTCCAATTAAATGTCAGTAGATAGTGAATCAAAAGTTGGGATAGGGACATGTAAACCGTTCTGATCGATAACGAATAGTTTCGACACAAAAAATTCCTGAAATCGAAAAATCTCGATTTTGAACACCCTATATCTCTGTAATAATTCCTGCTAGACCCCAAGTGTGATGCATTGATGAAATCAGCTCTCCGAGAAGAATCTAAAAAAATTAAATACAGGGTGTTCCATTTGAAATAACAAAGATGATGCTACTTTTTGGTAAAAGTGGCAACGCTGCATCGCTGAAAATATTTTGAATCGTTAGATCACAAACGCTTATAAGAGTAACCAAATTTTCAGGATAATCCAATGTACCGTTTTCCGTATACGTCTAAGGTACCATCGACCGTGGGCCACCCTGTATAATCTATAGAACAGTCACGAAAACTTCCCCTTATCATAGACATGACTGTATATCGATGTATCTAGGGGAATCGGTACCAGTGGAAGATCCCAACAAACCTGTGGACGATCTAGAACCGGGTTCCCAACGCCAGTACTCTCTCAACGATTTCGAGTTGATCCGGGTGATCGGTCGTGGTTCCTACGCCAAAGTTCTGATGGTGGAGCTGAAGAAGACGAAACGTATCTACGCTATGAAGGTATGTACTGTCGGTGAACAAACGTTGGAATTTATTTATTCACATATTCATTCATCGAACCTTTGATCATACAACAGACTGTTTGGAACCAATATCTAAAGTGTTCTTTCCATGCTAAACAAGGATAGCAACAGCTGATTCTCCCAGCACCAGTGGCGTAGGGTGAAAAGTGCTTGATATAATAAATTCGTGACCCAGTATTCGCGGGAATCAATGTTACCAGGTGGCGCTCGGTTTTCATCGTTCCATGTCAAAGTCACGTCAAAACTGGGGGAAAACAAACTCAATCCTCACTCAATCCAATAAGTGCCAATAAGAGTGATAAGTTTTTACATTTCTTGACATTAATTGTCAATATTCGATCGAAAACGCCTATTGTAGATGTTCTTTTGGCAGATATTTTGCTCTATTTAGATGGAAGAAGCCGACCAGTAGTGGAAGGAGAAGCAGTTCTCCGTGCTAATCATGTGATTTTGTGTGAGGCAGAAGACTTCAACAAAAGGCACATTTTTGCACTTTGTCTACAAACTTCGGCGATGAAATCTTCCCCACATGAAGTAAAATTGAAGTTGGGGTCCAGAGGAACTCCTGTAGAAAAATGGAATTGTATTTTATCCTGCAAAGCAGGACAATCTGGGTATTGTTAGCTGTTCTTTTATATGTCAATTTATTTGCTCGTCATAATTAGTTTGAATTGTTCGAACTATCTCCAATTCTTCACCCGTTCACTGTCCACTAAGCTGATAAAAATGTAATCATGAAAAAAATTTAACCAACTCAACCATCATCACTACCAACAGTGTTAACACTTTATGTCATTGACAAGTTTGACTACAGCTACATCAAGCTGAATGCAATGTAGTCTATGCACTTTATAAATAGACAACAGTTTGTTTTCCCCCAGTTTGAAGTTCGTATTATGTACCCTAGATGTCGCCCACTTCGTGAATCTCGCGAATTGAATAGCGAAAAGAATATTCATAACTGTCTTGCAGTGATCTGTCGTTGAACAGACGTTTGAACTTATTTATTCACATATTCATTCATCAAACCTTCGATTATACAACAGACTGTTTGGAACCAATATCTAAAGTATTTTTTCCATGCTAAACAAGGATAGCAACAGCTGATTCTCTCAGTACCAGTGGCGTAGGGTGAAAAGTGCTTGATATTATAGTAAATTCGTGACCCAGAACTATCTTTTAGTGATCCTTTCACATGCTTTTTTTTCAGCAACAAATTTAAAATTTTAAAAAACTTCACTCTTAGGTATTAGATTGAGACAAACCAGTGTGACAGTAGATAACGTATGTCACTTTGATACTCGAGTAAACACGACGTATGAGGGGTGATCATATCAGCGCGACATATATGTTTCAACTGAAGAGGGGGGAGGTTATAGGTTTTTGTAAATATATTCAATATAAGGTGGATTATTGGATTTTTTAAATGCATGTAGAGAGTTAATGATGATTCTCGTTTCAAGTTTTGATTATAAGGTATTAGATTTGTTAATAAATCGAATTTTCACATTATTTTGTTTTCTTGTTGTTCATTTGTTTGTTTAACTAGTGCAACCAGTAATCTTGGTGGCATCTAACTGTGAGTCATAACCTCTATCAGTCAATTTGACATTGACAATTTCACGACCCCTGGATTACACTATCTCCACTGATAGATGCCCGGAGCAAGTGCGCTATAAAATAGGTGGCGCCCGAGACTATCATCAAATAATCCGTGCAGAAGCGTCAAACTACGCAAATCCTTGTAGATAGCGTTATAAGTTTAACGATTATGAATTCCAGAATCAAAATAATATTCGACTTTGATTTCTTATTATGATATTCTGAGTTTTTATTCTATACAGGGTGTTCCTTAAAGACCTGCTAATATTTGAAGAGTTGTTTTCTTGACTCATTGTGAGAAGGAAACTTTTTGTTCATATTTTTGAGCAGCGACGGAAAATTTTCAAATTTCGTACAATGCTATCAAAGGCTATTCAATTATGAACACAAAACATCCTCCTGTTGATACTCGATAGAACGCTTCGTGTTAGAGAAAAACGGAAAAACGAGTCCAGACTTCTAATTTTGATGTCTGAGTACTCCAATCAGGACATCCATTACTGGATAACCACAGTGTAACATTTTGAAATTTTCATACCGATTCAGTCACATAGCAGACTGAATTTTGCTATCACGAAAAGATACAGGGTGGACAAAAAAATAATCTGTGCATTTTTTTAACATCATTGTTAGGACGTTCACGAGATACTTTCATATGAAGTTCAATTCTTGAAATTGGTCGAATAATCAGCCCCATGAATATCAGCATTTGATTAAGGAACACTCTGTATATTTCATCTAGAGAATACTTATTTTTTAATTCATACGAGTGATTTGTTGATGTATCATATGGAATACGATATAGTACCACAGCATAAAGATTTTTGCTTTGATAGTAACTTTCAACGAGTTTCTATATAATGTTGATATTTTATTGAAATTATATTTGGAACAAGATATTAGAAGTATATTAGTAACCAGTGGAGATGAACTTTCATGGAAACCCCATAATTTCTGAAACGTATCTAGTCAACTCGGCGATAATGTCTTTCTTCGAATTCGCCAAAGGTGATCAAGAAGGCCTTGGTGACCGACGACGAAGACATCGATTGGGTGCAAACGGAGAAGCACGTTTTCGAGACGGCTTCCAACCATCCGTTCCTTGTTGGTTTGCACTCGTGCTTCCAGACGCCGTCCCGGCTGTTTTTCGTCATCGAATTCGTGAGAGGAGGCGATTTGATGTTCCACATGCAGAGGCAACGCAGGTTGCCGGAAGAACATGCCAGGTAGGAGGAGAATGCGAATTCAATCAATCAATCAATTTATTTGTCAAAAACACTAGCATAATACATGTAAATAAAACAAAATTCATTCAAGAAAGAAAACTCAAAGTCGTCTCCACAATTTTATTGTCGAAGGAGGCAGTCAATCTTGCTTCAATAAGGTCTGATACATGTTTCGGCCATTAAGATGGCTATCTTCAGTCAAATTAGCAACAAAGTGTATGTGGAAAAAATCTTTTAAAGACATCGTGAAGGCGAAAAACTTAGTCTTAAAACATAATTAATTTAATGTGAAATGGAGTTCAAGTTGGTAAAATTCTAGAGGAAGGCAGAAAGCCAATCCCCCAAAAGGAACTTTGAATTCTTCATAGGTACCGAGAGCTTCTTCGGCTACCATTGTCTGATGATGACCGGTAAATTTTCAAGGACGTTTTTTATACAGGGTGATTCACATGTAGGGGGTCCCAAAATATGGCAATTTAACGCAACTTACCTCTATACTAAGTTGCTTCCCTAAGGAGTTATAGGCTTTGAAAGTGAAGTAATAAATTTTGAAAAAATCATTATCTCCGTTATTCTTGAATTTAAAGCAACCAAATTTGGTACACTTTGTGGATGTATTTAGGACGTTTCTTGACAGTAACTAGAGTTCAATTGAAATTTGTAAGGGGGGTATACCGGGTGGCGCACCATTAATATTCAACAGAATTTTGTTAACCCTTGATAGATTTTAAAAATCTTTGCTTCGTTGTGTGGGCAATTCACTTCTAAAACATTTCTTACTCCAGTAAATTTTTCGAAAACCTCATCATTTTCATCAAAAACTCGAATAACTGAAAACGCGCGCTCTAGGTGTGTTATTTAAAATCATCGAAAATTCAAAAGTTGGCTATGGAAATAAACGTACAACAAAAAAGTAGGTCATTAATTGTGATTAGTAGAAATTGGCTGGCAAATTATCATTTAGATACGTAACAAAATACGTAAAGTAAGTACAGATACTGAAATGTGAAAAACTGGGATTAACAACTAACCAAAATAACCACAAAAAACTCAAACAACAACCAGAACAAACAATTGTTTATCGATAAATTACTTAATTGAACAACTTACTTGCTTCATTGTCAAGTTTGACGTTCATTTTCATAGCCAACTTTTGAATTTTCGATGATTTTGAATCACACCTAGAGCACGCGTTTTCAGTTATCAGAGTTTTTGATGAAAATGATGAGGTTTTTCGAGAAATTACTAGTCTAAGAAAAGTTTTAGAATTGAATTGCCACAAAACAAAGCAAATCTATCAAGGGGTAACAAAATTCTGTTGAATATTAATGGTGCGCCACCCGGTATACCCCCTTTACAAATTTCAATTAAACTCTAGTTACTGTCAAGTAACGCCCTGAATACATCCACAAAGTGTACCAAATTTGGTTGCTTTAAGTTCAAGAATAACGGAGATATTAATTTTTTTCAAAATTTATAACTTCACTTTCAAAGCCTATAACTCCTTAGGGAAGCAACTTGGTATAGAGGTTAAGTTGCGTTAAATTGCCATATTTTGGGACCCCCTACATGCCCCTGCTCTATGTCGGTTCTTATGTGAATCACCCTGTATAAAGTGTGGTCGACCGACTTTGTCTTGTTTTCTTCAATTTTTCTTTCGTAATTTCCATATCCGTTTAGGTTTTACGCTGCCGAGATCTCCTTGGCCTTGAACTTTTTGCACTGCAAGGGCATCATCTATCGCGACCTGAAGCTCGACAACGTCCTTCTAGACCACGAGGGACACATCAAATTGACCGACTACGGCATGTGCAAAGAGGGCATAAGGCCTGGAGATACGACTTCCACTTTTTGCGGCACGCCGAATTACATAGCGCCGGAGATATTGCGAGGGGAGGATTATGGGTTTTCTGTCGATTGGTGGGCCTTAGGTAAGCACATGATCACAAAATAGTATATTGTGCAACAAGTGGGAAAAGTTCAACTTTTCTCACGGGTGTGAAAGTTTGTGGCACGAGCCTGAAGGGCGAGTGATGCAAACACACGAGTGAGAAAAGTGCTTTTCCCCACATGTTGCACACTATACTTTTTCTACAACTGCACTCATTCGAAGAATCCGAGTAATGTAGCTTATTGGTAATTATTTTATAATGTGGGAGATACGACTTCCACTTTTTGCTGCACGCCGAATGACAGCGCTAGGGATTTTAAGAGGGAAGGATTATTTGTTTTCTGTCAATTGATTGGCCTTAGGTGAGGAAAGAATCCCAAGAAAATGGTTTCCATCCGGCCGAGGCAAGATAATCTTGAGGTCGCCAAAAAGTTTCGCGGTCATAGTATATACACTATTTTTCGTTGCATTATTCATGAACTAAATAACTGAAATGACATTTTGAATGAATAAAAAATATTTTGACAGCTGTTCTTGACAAAACTGAAATATGATCTGACAATGAAAAATCTTGCTATTGTCGTTGTTTTGTAATAGGTCGAGTGCACGATGACCGACCCTGGAGGTGAAACATCGAAACACAACCTCACTTTTCTGTAGATCATTGAAACACAACCCCACTTTTTTTATTGGTTTACAGAGGAATCAAAGGATTGAAATAGTTTTTCACAATATTTTGGCATTCGTGTTTTTTGCGCTATTCATTAATTCAAGCATGCCTTCTCATTGTGCTGTTGTACAATACACAAAAAATGCAGCGAGAGACGAAGGAACATGATTTTTCAGGTAAATAGTAATCTCACATAGTTTTCATTATGAAATTTTGTCATTTCTTGTCAAAATTCTTTCTGCTACTTCTGCAATAGAAGCTAATACTTCTAATAGATTGAAAATGTCTACAACACACACGATCATATTTCGTCAGCATGTCAGACCAGTCCTCCCATTTGATTGCATGACTCTTATCTTCTTGAAAATTCACGAGTATTTCTATCAGCTCCTATTGCAGAAGGAATTCCGATAATAAATCAGAGAAATTACCAACTTTCAAAATTAAAACTATATGTGAGTGACTATAGTAGGTACTTACTCTTTTGAATCATAATGTACCAACCGCATTCCTTCGTCTCTCGCTGCATTTTTTGTGCTTTGTACAACAGCACAATGTGATGGTATGCGCGAATTAGTGAATAGCCGAAAAACACGATTCGTATGCCAAAATAATTGTGAAAAACTAATTCAATCGATTGTAAACAAATATGAAACAAGAAAAGTGAGGTTGTGTTTCAATGTTTCACCGCCAGGGTCGGTCATCTGACAGTTCTCGCACGCAACCCATATCAAAACGGAAGTTGTAGGTACTTTGCATACTGTGTAGAGAATGCGAAGTCTGTTACGATGGCAGATATTTATTCAAGTAACTGTCACTTCTAGGCGTCCTCTTGTACGAAATGCTCGCCGGTCGATCTCCCTTCGATATAGCCGGCGCCTCAGAAAACCCCGATCAGAACACCGAAGACTACCTCTTCCAAGTCATCTTAGAAAAGACGATCCGTATCCCGAGATCTCTCAGCGTGAAAGCGGCCAACGTGCTCAAGGGGTTCCTCAATAAGAACCCTGCTGATAGATTGGGGTGCCACAGCCCGGATGCTTTCATTGATATTACGGGGCATCAGTTTTTCAAGAGCATCGATTGGGATATGGTGAGTTCGATATAATAATAATAATAATAATAATAATACTTATTTCACCCGTTGAAAAGTACAATGCAGAAGCCAAAGCAGTTTTCAGGCATTTTTGCGATTTTTGCAATTCTCAGAAATTTTTGCGATTTTCGCAATTTTCAGGCATTTTTGCGATTTTTGCAATTTTCAGGCATTTTTGCGATTTTTGCAATTTTCAGTCATTTTTGCGATTTTTGCAATTTTCAGGAATTTTTGCGATTTTCGCCATTTTCAGGCATTTTTGCGATTTTTGCAATTTTCAGGCATTTTTGCGATTTTTGCAATTC